ACCTAAGCATCCCTTGCTGCAACTTGAGACCAAATGCCAAAAGCCCTGGTGTAGCTGCTGGACATAGGTGTGCATCTGATCACCCTGAGGCACAGTCCTTGCAGTACAGCACTGAAAGCAGGCATGGCACTATGAAGGTATCTGGAAGTGGGGGCCCTGAGCTCCGGTGGGTCAGTCTGCTGATGCAAAGAAGCTATTCCCACCGAACCTACCACCTGCATCCTGGCTCAGGTGGTGCCAAGGCAACAGATGCAGGTTAATATACATGAGCAGGGCATGCTCAGACGTGTTTGCAAAGCTTAGCAGCAGCTAATGAGCAGAGAGGAGTGGGCTGCTGGTAATTGTACATGTGCTGTGTGGGAGCACTGACAGCACGGTGTATTTTAGAGCTGGCTGAAGCCTGGAGCTTGGCTCCATTTCTACTGGGCTCTTGGGGCACAATAAAGAAACATCGCCCCTTATTATCTACCAGCAGTTGGCACCCAGGGGTGCAGCTTTCAGAGCAAACAGCTCCAAGCACTGACCCTGTCCTTCGTGAAATGCATCTGTCTCTGATTTCCTTGCTGCATCCTGCGGCCAAAAGAGCTTGGCTGTGCTTGCCGTTCACGCGTGTTGGATCAGAATATTTCGGCTGACCTATAACCCAGGCTCATGGACTTCTGACTGGAGATTTGGGCCCTGTGAGCCTTTGCATGGGGGTCTGTTTGGAAATAGGGGCCTTGGTAACTTCACAGTAGGGCTGCACATTCATACAGACATGGGGGGCTTATACTTTTGTGGCACCCAATTGCTTCCTTTACCCAATTGCTTCCTTTACAAAGAGCAGTCCCATTTTCCCCCCTCACCTCCCCACCTGGCCCAGTATCCAGCAACTAGAAGAGCAGCATTCTGACTGGGTGTGTCTACACATTCATTAATGCACCATAATTACTCCACAATGGATAATTAAGTACCATAATTACTTAAACATTAAGTTTAATACTTGTATAACCCAGTACTAAATCAATGCCTGGTAACTGGCACTACTGTGCAGCAGCACCGGTGCATGGGTTTTAGTGATTAGAGCCTAATACTACTGCGCACTAGTGTATTAGTACGGTTTTTCCCTTGCACACTAATGCACAGAAGAATTAGGCTATTCTGCAGTCAGTGTCTCATGTAGATGCACCCACTCAGACTCAAACAAGCCAAGCCAGCTTTGCCATGTCTAGCCCCTAACCAGCTTTCTGGGCTAGGCAGACCTCATGCTCCACCTCCTGGGGAGATGGAAAGCAATATTTTTTGCAACCTCCCCTTCCCTTTCTTAATCTGATTCCTAAGTAATTAAGCATCACTTTTGAGTGAATCAGGCTCCAAGAGCTCTTGTGAGGACAGTTTTATGTTGCAGCCTGTCTCCAGCATGTGCGTCTCTCCCCAGCAGGCAAGGCTGCTTTGCTGGCCGCAGGAAGCCAGCTGAGACCTCTTTCCACCTCTGCCTTTGCAAAGCGGTCTGTGCTATGCTAGGGGCAAGATGCTAGCTGATGGCTCATGCATATTCATCTCTAATCATTATTATTTCCATCCCGGCTCCTGGTTTTTGATTCTCCAGCAGCTGGGGCTGACACAACCAGAAGCGGGGGCAGCCTGACCTTGGGAGGTTCAGTGAAAATGCTCAGCGCTGGGATGAGAGAGGGACAGCAAGCACTGCAGACACGTCCCTTACGTCATGTAGCTCCGTGCTTTCCACTTTGCATCGTGTGCTCACCTGCCGCAGGCATTTTGGCTCACCTGCCGCATCCTCGGAGGATGGCAGGTGCTTTCCCAGCTGCTGTGAACCCCAGAGACATGTTCTAAATGTCTGAGGAACGACTCTGATCCACTCCCTTCCTGGGCTCGCTCTCTCAGAGCTGTCACTCGAGTCCAACACGGCAAACCTTTCCCTTCCCCTCGATCCTCTGGACCCCCATCACCCTGGCCTTGCACTTCCAGACGGGGTGATTTCAGGTCTCCCATCAGATTCGGTAAAGAGCCTGCCTAAATCCTGCTGTCATTTAGTAGGAGGTGGATGCCTCTGAACCCCCCACCAGAGCCATTTCTTTTCAAAGCACTATAACCGGTAGAAAACCTGGCTGACTTTAGTGCAGCGTTGGAGAGGGAGTGACTGCCAACTGGATTATAAACCCCCAGCAGAATCAGTGTCGTGGAGGATGCAACATGAAAGGCTGAGCGACGGTCCCAACAAGCATCCCATTGCTTTGGTGAGAGCACGAGCTGACATCTACACCCTGATGGATGCCCGAATGCTCCACACCCCACCCCAGCAAAACAGGCGCCTCCAAGGTGGGCGGGTGCTGATACCGCTAAGAAGAGCCGGTGGCAATCCTCTTTCTATTGCACAGGGCTCCCTGGTGATAAAGCTGGAAGGCACCTCAAGAGATCATCTAGTCCAACCAGGGATCAAACATTGACCTTGCTGGGATTAGACCATGCTCAAATCAACCGAGCTAAATAGTCCTTTAAATGAAAAGCCTAGGGGTGCTGGAGGATGACTACATTAAAGACTGTGGCTGCACTGGTGAAACAGCACTGGGGGCTTTGCAAGTGTCCAAATGAGAGTATTATGGGCTCAAGGCTGAATATACCCATCTGGTTCTGACACCCTTGGCTCTGGGAGGTTACAACGGTAACAAGCCAAACAGAAATAACCACTGCCAACGAGCCCAGGAGCTCTGAGGATAGGATTTGAGCTGGGAGAAAATTATTGCATTGTTTTTTAATTTTGAGGAACATTTTAAAAACTTTTTGTGAACCTTTTTTTCCCCCCCTCTATTCAAAATCTTTCTTTTCTCCTCCCCAAAATTAGGATGACAAATCTTGGGGTTTAAAAACTTTTTTTTTTCCCACTAAATTGCTTCCCTACTTTCCAATGGGCTTTGGATAATGTTCATTGCTGTTATTTCTGAAGCCTCTCTGGACCTGATCTCAAGCCAGCCCCTACCGTGCCAGTGGAAAGTGTCTGATGGACACCCCTGGGTTTTGCTGTATCAGTACACGAAGTCTTTCCCTGCTTCTCGCTTCAGCAATGAACGTGGAGGTCCACAACATCTCTTACACGAGCGCGACTGCCTCTCGGTCCACTAACAACCCCTGCCCAGAGAGCTATTCCCACGTCATGGGAACAGTAACTTTGCAGGCGACTTGTGCCAGAACTTGCACCACGAGGAGCAGGTCCCCCATGCCCTGAGCTCCCTCGTCCTCCACAGACTCGACCCCTCCACCGTCTACATCCTGTGCATCACGTGTAAAAACGTGTTTCCCTCCAGCAACCATTGCACGCCCGTCTGCACCCTCGGCCGGCAGCCTCTGGCCTTCGGGGGCTCTGGGCACGAAGCCGACCCCTCGCTGCGGGCAGGGAGCAGCCTCTTGCTGCTGTGCTTTACGGCCATCTCGGTGTATGGCTGCCTGCAGTGCTGGTCCCCGAGGTGCCGCAAGCCTTCGCGGCCATCCTGCGCCAACCTGGAGGGGGACCGGGCGAGCCGGCAGATGGGACTGTGACGTTCCTCATCTCCCCCTGCTAACACGGAAGTGACCCACCTTGGTTTCTCCTTGCATGGCCAGGGGCTGAATCTTTTTGGGATAGAAAATGGTAGTTGTGGAGGGCAGTGATATCACATAGCTGTTATACTTATTTATTGAAAGAGGAAAATCTAACTCCCATACCACCTTCCTCCGTGCTGTCCAGGCTCTGGGGATGTAATTTAGACCCTCCCTCTTTCAGGTCACTAAACCAGTACCCCAGCATCTTTCGCGGGAGGTGAGCTTTCTTTTTAGCCCTACTGCCACCGCCGTCCGAGCTCTCCCAGCCCCTGCACCTTTCGAGGGGGCTTGTTCAGGGGCTTGGTCCCAGGGCGGTGGGCTTGCTTGCACCCTGCCAGTCGTGCACAGAGGAGGGGAAAGTGGAGACGCAACGACTCCCATGCTACTTCTCCTTTGCATGGTTTTTCTGCCTCAGCAAAACCAACGCCGTCTCCTATGTTTGTTTCCGCTGCTCACTTTATGAACCGTGCCCGCTATTTCCCTCCCGGTGAACAATCTCCGTGTCCTCATTGCTCTGTGCCTAATAAAGTCCTCCCCTCGACTTTTGATGGCTGATGCGGTCCCTTACTGACCTTTGATCCGTAGAGGTAATAGGGCTGGACGTTGGCCGGCTTGTCCCGCTGCGGCTCCTGGGTGAAGGGGATCGCCGTCCGTACAAACCTGCGGGGTGGGATAAAACGGTGCTAGTAAACTGCATTTTGGTTGTGCGACATGCACACCTCGGGGGGCTCTTTCCAGGGTGAGTGCAGCAAAAATGGGTGTTAATCCATCCGAGAGATGCAACACTGCAAAGCATGGCATGAAAACACTCCTGCCATGGGGCGTGCAGGAGCCAAAGTGCAACGGGTACCTCTGAGTGAAGCCTGGTTTAGGGTCAGGGCTTCTGGGGGCGTCCTCGGAGGTTATGTCCTCTTACCTGTTGGTGGACCCGTTGTAGCAGTAGTTGGGCAGGAAGTCAAAGTTCAGCTCCCAGAAGACGTGCAGGGTGATGCGTCCGTACGGCGCGGAGACATTGTGATTGGCCTCCCGGAACATGGCGTCGAAGCTGTCCAAAGTCATGTGTTTGCACAGCAGCCGGTGGGTCAGGCGATTGATCTCCAAAAGCCACTCCAGTTCCTGCCCCGGGTGAAGCAGCAAGGGCAGAAGACTGTGAATGCGCGATCGGGATGGACACAGAAAAGTCTCGTTCGATCAGCAAGGGAGGGATTGCATTTTACACACACACACACATACACACATACACACACACACATGCAGGCAGTCTTCCCAGCGTGACACGTGCAAAAGGCATCCGTTTAACTCAAAGGCCAAGATCACTTGCACTTTCACTCGAGGGGGCCCCACGGGTGGCGAAACTAATTTGTCCCCCACCGAGCCTGTTCCGGCTCTCACATCAGGATCCTTGCAAGGTGGAAACTTTAATTTTACACTGCTTGACTCTGATGCTCCTGCGTGCGTGGCTTCGAGCCCGAAACACAAAGCCACTGCACTCAGCATCTCAGAAGGGATAAAACTCAGGACTTTCTTCTCCCAGGTCACAAGACTGTACTGTTTGAGCTCCACAACAAGCCCTGCTAACAGCCACACCTCAGTTTATATATATATATTCGCCGGCTAATGGATAATGCAGCCACCAATGTGTGAATGGGCCAGACTGTAGGGCTCCCATTACTGCACAAATACCCACAATTACTACAGATACTACAGTAGGGCAGATACTACAGTAGAGGAGATGCAGAGGGACAGGACAGCACTGTGATGTGATTGCCATGCCACAGAGTGAGGCTATATACGCTGCCAGGGGGTTACAACCCCTGCTCTTACAGCCCTCCCAGACACCCAGGGCCTTACCACGATGGACGTCAGGTCCTCACTCTCAAAGCGGCTGATAGCCTGGTCTAATGACTTGTACATGGCAGCTGAGATGCGCTGGGTAATAAGCCTGTTCAGGTCGATTGACCTGCCTAGCAGCTGTGGAAAACAGGAGAAGATACTTTAGATGATGGAAACCAGGAGAAGATACATCCAGAGGGTGGGAAAAGGCTTCCAAAATGAACCCAGCCTCGAGCCCCAGACTGAGCATGGAGAAGGTTGGGATCTGGATCCAGACTCCACTGTTTGGGCTACCTCTGTGTAAAAGGAGTTTGTGAATCTGGATTGCAAATACCCTTCCCTTAGCCACCAAATGCACCATGGCAGTATGAGGATTAACCCTTTAGATTCAGATGCCTGTTGACTTCTTCCTGGCAAGAAACCTATTGCTATCCATCTTGATGGTACCCAGCAATATAATGGGAGCTAAGCGCTGACATGTTCAGCCGAGCACAGGGCCTGGTTCAATCCCACTAGAGACCTAGGGACCGTTGCAAACGTCTGGGCTGGCGGTGTGCATCGTACCTGGACGTGTCTCTGTTTGAGCAACGTCTCGTAGCGGTTGGATGGCGGGTAAGGAATAATCACGCCGTAATTCTTACACTCTGCCCGGAAGCGCTTATCCAATAAGACACTGGAAAGGGAAAATATCGTCAACACATTTGTCTGACGAGCTCTTTTTCTCCCCTCTCAACCCTTTTGAGTGTTGTAATCCATCCTGAATCTTGCCTCCTTTCATCCTTGAACCCTGAGGACGCTCCCCAGCCCTGATGCACCTTGCATTCGTACCCGAACATATCAAGCATGAAGCTGAAGGATTAATAATCGGTGATAATGGGATTCTCTTACCTGCCGGCCATGGCTTTGTAATAGGCAAAGATCTGATCCGCCAGCTTGTACACAAACTGGTCGAAACACAAGTTCACCTGAGGAAGGGAGAAGTACACATCTCATACAGTGGCATAAATAGCATCTAATCAGAGTCTAACATGGGCTTACGTCTGTTCAGCACAGGGCTATTAGTACCAAAGCATGACGACCTGCATTTCACATCACTTGGAAACTGGCCTGCCCTGCTCACGGCATAAAGAAATAGGACAACTGAGCCTTTGTCACTCTCTCTTATTATCCTATTACTTATTATTGAAAAGCCAAGCTTTCCATCTCCAGTTGACTTTAATTCTCACAATACCCTTTGCTTCCTCTTTGTCCATGGACATCTCAACCCTCTTGAGACTCTTCTCCACCATCTCAATAGTCTGCTTTCCTTAGATCCACAAAGATGGACCTGACTGCAGAATCAGGCCCGTAGGAAATAGGTAAATCCAGCCACCCAGAACTCACTTCAGCTTCGATCTCATCGTACAGGAACTGCTTCTTGAACTTGGTCAAGGCGTAATAGGCGCTGTCGTTGTACAGGTCTAAGGGGTAGAGGACGTACCTGGGGAGGAGAACAAATCGCTGCTTAGTGTGATGGTCATCTTGGCAGGAAAAGCAGAGGCGATGCGACCACACACACCACTCCAACCCCAAAAGGACTGCTGGAGACCCCTCCTGCCAGATCCTCTCTCTCCTTCCCCTATGGATATTCCCTCTCACGCTGGAAATAGCTAAAGAAGAGCTGGCCTTGTGCTTTTTAAGGATTTCCCCACATAAGGCGATTTCCCGGCTGTGCTTTAAAAACATCTTTGTGCATTTCTAGCTGGACAAAGGTACCTCGGCATGCCTCGACCTCTGCCTCAGCAAGGCACGGAGGGTTGGCAGGGACCTCAGGAGGTCACATCTAGTCCAAGCCCCTGCTCCAAGCAGGACCAGCCCCAACTACATCATCCCAGCCAAGGCTTTGTCTACCTGGGGCTTAAAACCCTCCAAGGATGGAGACGCCACCACCTCTCCGGATAACCTGTCCCAGTGCTTCACCGCCCTCCTGGTGAGAAAATTCATCCCAATAGCCAACCTCAACTTGCCTTGCTGCAACTTGAGCCCATTGCTCCTGGTCTTTTCATAAGGAAACATTCACTTTATAACAAATGGTGACAACTCTCATGGCCTGGGAGTCTCAATCATGGACCCCACTGTGCTAGGCGCTGTACAAAAGGACCGGTCACCCCTTTATTGCTATGGCGACACACTACGGGATCACGCAGCTGCATCTAAATGCTAACCCTTATTGGGCTGCAGAAAGCTAGCGAACGGAGATACATCCAAGATGCTTACTCCATCATGGAGGGTTCTTTGGTTTCCAGGATGTGGTCCGTGAGTATCCACGGCATGGACATCTCGATGGGAAACTGGATGCGGCGGCCCATGGTCAGCTCCAGGAAGAACTCGCGGAACCAGAGCTGGGACAGGTCGCAGCACTGCTGCAGGGCTTCTGGAAACACACGGGACGTCCCGCCCCACCGCAGCGGGAGGACAGGGAGGTTAACGAGGAAGGAAAGCCCCAGGGAATCCGACAGCAAGGGGTGGGAGGCCTGATTCAAGTAGGGTTTAGGCCGTTCTCTGCCAACACTGTTTTTAAACTACACCAAACGCTTGTGGTATCTCATCCCCTCAGTGGCAAAGAACATGAAGGATTAATACCCCTGCTTAACAACTGGGACATCTGGTTAGGGAACTTGACCAAGGCCATCTAGAGAGTCTGTGGCAGAGATGAGATGAGACCCCCCCCTCCCCCTCCCTGCCTTTTCATAAGAACCAGGTTCAGGGCACCCTCCCCCCCCTCCCCCTGCCTTTTCATAAGAACCAGGTTCAGGGCCTTAACTAGACCCCCACCACCCGCCCCTGTCCATACCCATTGCTGGATAAATCATCCTTAATCAAGATACTACTGGGGTATGGAAACACAGCCCGAGAGGGCAGGATTCACCCCTCCCCAGTTGTGGCCTTACCACTGATGTTAAGCAGGTGTGTGAAGAAGAAGGAGTGCTTGTGAAACTCCTCGATGGCCAGCACGATGGGCCCATCCAGGCTGCTCCTCAGCGTCTTCTTTGAGCCGCTTTTGTCTGCGATCAGCGACTCCAGCATGGTCCGGACCATGTACAGCTTAAATAAAAAAGTAGTCATCACAAAGTGATGATAGGGCTCTTTGGGCCACACAGCGCCTAGCAATAGTCTGTGGGCTGACTTCACGCTCAGTGGCCATGTCTACACAAGATGCTATACTGCGCAATAGACTAATCTACTGCAAGGTAAAGTGTCACCATCTACACGTGCAGGTGCTTACTGCACAGTAAATTAGTTTACTGCACAGTAAACTTGCTACTTGCACATGCAGGTAGTAAATGTACTGCACAGTAAAGCCAAATAGCATTATTTGCACGTGTAGATGTGCCCAGTCTGAAGCCATTAGGTCCCTAAGAAGGCAGCCTAAGCCCTGCAAAGCAAACCATGCACAAGGGCAACAATACAGGTTTTTAGGATCAAAGATGGACTGAAAAAGAGAACATTGGGGTTGAGCTGCTTCACCCACAGAACGGAACAGCTCGGACCTACCTGTGTGCTCGACGGCCCTACCGCTCGCCGCGGGACCTTAATATCAAATCCGCCCTTGGGGTCCTTCTCGCCTCTCAGGCAGGGGTCGTTCGGGGGCTCGCGGCCTCCCTCCCAGTCACAAATTGTCTTCCGAATGGCCTGAAGGACGCTGGGAGGGGGACAGCAAAACGCTCAAGTCAGACTTTCACTGCAGGGGAAAGTACCCGAAGCCACGGACGTGGCGGGATCATAGGAACGCAGGGCTGGAAGGCACCTCACCAGGCCGTCTAGTCCAGCCCCTGCTCAAGGCAGGATCATCCCTACGTCATCCCAGCCAAGGGTTTGTCCAACCTCCTAGATGGCATAGATTTCATAGGCATGAGGGCTGGAAGGGACCTCGCGAGATCATCAGGTCCAGCCCCCTGCCCAAAGGGCAGGAAAGTCAGCTGGGGTCAGATGACCCTGGCAAGGTGAGCATCCAAATGTCCTCTTGGACATTTCCAGGGATGGAGACTCCACAGCTCCTCCAGGAAGCCTGCTCCAATGCTGGACCACCCTCAGAGTCAAAAAGTTTCTTCTGACCTACATTTCCCCTGCTGCAGTTGGAGGCCATTGCTTTTAGTCCTATCCCCAACAGGCATGGAGAAAAGCCCATCTCCATCCTCTTTGCTATCACCCTTCAAGTATTTGAAGACTGTTATCAAATCCTCCCTCCAGTCTTTTCTTCTCCAGACTAAATAACCCTAGTTCTTCCAGCCTTTATCATCCGTAAGGGATGGAAAAAACCTTCGGCACAGACAGACAGGCACGAGCTGCTCAACCAAGGTAGCTTTGGGAGGACTGGGCTGGACAGGACATGCTGACTGTGTCTCAGGGGCACTGGCAACCAGTTTGCACCAATTGTTTCTGAATGCATTGCTGACGGGCGCTAGTCTGACATGGGAGATGGTATACAGCTGGTTAGAGAGGTTGCCACCCAGGGCTATTCTGGATCTCTGCATTTAAGATACGGTCAGAGACCGACATCCCGACCTGATCAGGACGTTCTTCTTCTTCCTGACGGCCTGCCGGAGCGGCTCGCGCAGCGTCACCTGGGCGAAGTCCTGCAGCGCGGCGTAGATGGTGTTTCGGATGGCCTGGTTAAAGACGCTCTCCATCCGGCCCATCAGCACTTGCAGGCCCTTGATCATGGCAATGACCTGAGAAAACGCAGACAACTAGTTCCCCCCTTGCCTGAACAGAGTAGCAGTATTAGCCCCCGCTTGGGTGAAACCTCCAGTCCCTGGATGGAGATTCCCAAGGTCCGCAAGCATCCAGCTCCCACGGAAAGCAATTATACCTTCTAAAAAGTAGCTCTCCAGGACTTGCAAGGGGTCACCCAGCAGGGCTTGGGGCATGGGAGGGATCTGGACTCTGATACACCAGCCACTGCCTTAGCTAAAAGATCATCCTTTCCTTTAAAGGCTTTGGAGGCAGTGTTTGCACCTACCTCCACAAAGGCAAACTTCTCCTCGCTGGTGTAGTTGTAGCGGGTGGCTCTCTCATACTCCTCTGCGGTGCCCGGGCAATCCTTGTTACAGAACTTATCCGTGGGATGAACCAGCTTCCAGGAATACTGGGAGAAGAGAGCAAGGGCAGAGCACCGGGGTGACTCACAAGGACCAGAGCTGTGTGGATGGAAGAGGGCCAGAGACACGTTCCCGCACCCCCACCACGGCTCTCCGGCAGCCCAGCACCGAATCATCTACTTCCAGACGCTAGTCCCCCTCTATGCCCCTACATCCTTACTGGAGGGTTGCAAGTGGGGCCATTCATTTACTTTCCCTCTCTAACGTGCGTTTGACCTCCACGATTTATTCCTAAAATTCTCCATGCAGCAACACCATCCATGGGCCATGATGCATGCTAAATTATGAATGTTTCATCACATCATTAATTATATCTCTTATTTTTGTAACTTTATTAATGAATCTGAGTCATAAAATCATGGAGCCAACATTCAAAAACATCACCTTGCTCTTCTGAGATGGCGCACTTGCCCTCATGTCAGTAAAAAATGGCACATTTCACTACTTTCTTGAGTACATTTCCTCCTTTTCTTTGTGTGTGTGTGTGTGTGTGTGTGTGTGTGTGTGGCCTTTCTCTGGTTGAACACGGCCTTAAATATTTCAAGCCCTCTTGGGGAGAAGCCGGTGAGGATGCTGTGCTGGGAGAGGCGGCACTCACCACCTCCATGACGTGGGCGCTCCACTTGGAGAGCAGCTGCAGCCCCCGCAAGGCCAGGTCAAAGAGTTCCCTGTATTCCTCATCTGATTTCTGGCTGTCCAGGCCTGAGCCAGTGACCACCTGGAGCAAAACACACAAGGGCACCGTGAGACGCAGAAAACCGCCCAGCCAGAAATGCCCTCCGTGGAGCGAGAGAGCTCGTGGCTCTTGATTTGCCACCAAAATGCAGCTCAGATGATTGCACAGTCAGAGATAGAAACACGATGGGCAATATGTTCCCTGATATGAACTGCCAAATATTTGTGCAGATGGAGCTGGATATAGCCCTTTTCAATCACTGGGCCTTGCCTCAACTTATTCCCTGCAACTGGAGAAAATAGACAACCCCTCTTTTATCGTCCCTGCTCCCTCAAAAGGTTTGGTGAGACACTTCCGAGACTCTCCAGGTCTTTGGGACGCCCCTTTTTTATTCATTGAGCACTTTTGCAGTCATTTACATTGAATACAGAAAAGGCGTAGGCACCCTGGAAAGCAGAGCTTCAGTCATAAATGCCAGCAACCAAGTGCAGCAACAATTACCAGAAGAAGGGGCCTCCAATCAGCCAATAAATCAAAACCACAATAAAGCTCTATTATTTTCTCCTCATTGCCTCCTTCCCGCGCCCTGAGAGGGGTTTTGTTTTGGTGTGAATGACAGCCTCCCTCTACACCTCTGCTGACATCCATGGGCCGTGATGCATGCTAAATTATGAATGTTTCATCACATCATTAATCATATATCTTATTTTTGTAACTTTATTAATGAATCTGAGTTATAAAATAATAAAGCCAACATTCAAAAACACAACCGATCCCCCAACAGATACCCACCAGCCACTAAGTGGTATGAGACCCCAAATAGGGACCACAGAAGTCTTGTGCTCCTCTCCCCTTCCGGCCTGGTCCCTGGCAGGACCCCAACACCTCCGTCAATGTAAGTGTCTGCATTTCCTCATCTCTCCAACAATTCATCCCCCTGGACCCCGGCATGTGACCAATTCTCCGCTCATCTCTACCCCAGACCTCAAGCTCATAGACCTTGAACTTCAATAATCAAAAACGTTTTTCACATTTCTGCTTTAGAGGCAAGAGAAGAGTCTTTTGCAGCAAATACCAGAAATCTCCATCATTTAATGGCTCTGCAGCAGAGACTGCCAGCTCTCACCGTGCGCCCAGGCCATCCAGGTAAGATGGTTACAGCCCAGGGGGAGGGTGATGTGACTTGTGGAGCAACGTTCCCCGCTATGTCCCTCTCCCCTCAGGCACCGCATGCCACCCCGCTCCCCAACCTCTTCCCTGGCTGGCGTGCAGGCACCGAGTGCCCTCCGAGGAGGCACCCGGCGGTGCTTACCTCGCTGTTGCTGTAGCGAGCGAGCTCCGAGATGAAGCGGATGTGGTCGTCACGGATCTGGACCATTTGCTCACAGATGTTGTACTGGGGACTGATGCTGCTCTGGGTACAGGTCCACCTGGGCAGGAAAGCAGCCTCTTGAGCGGACAGGCAGCGGGCAGAACACGGCTGTCCGGGTCTGCTGCTTCCTTCCCCTGTAAAGCATGTCCTCTTCGGGACGTGCCTTCTCAGCAGGCATCCACCCTGCCCCTCGTCCTGGCCCGAGACACCGCACGACCCGTGTGCGTGTGCACGCACGGGCATACGGCCTTTCTCCATCCGGAGGATGGCTTGCACCGTGCCAGGCATGGTTTTCCTCTACCCCTGCCATCAGTGGAGCTCTTTTTCAATTCAGCCTCTCACAAAATGCATGCTGTACTTACCTACTGGCCAGACAGACGGTCGTGGACAGGCAACTATTATCTAAGCTGCCGTGCAGCTGTACAGCAAGTCCTCAATGTGTGAATGAGGCATCGCCCCTTCCTTTCCTTCCCAGACTAAGACCAGCCAGCCTCAAAGGGAGTGACTAGCCAGAAAAGATGCCTCCCTCCCTCTCCTCTTTTGGACCTGGACTATTATCCCCACCTCAACAAACTAACCTGCATTGGAAGCAAAGGCAGGGAATGATTTACGGGGCTGGACTTGTTCGCTTTGAGCCCTCTGCTCCCACTGGCTGCATCAGGGACTTTGCAGGGAGGGACGGACTAGCCCCTTTCTATTGCCACAATAATAAGTGCAAGGTGGTATAATAAATGCAAAGGAGACCACGTCATGAGTGACTGGCCAGGAATTAAATGGAGACCATGTCACAAATGAACCCCCTTCTCCTGGCCACGATTGTCTGGGGACTTGACCTTGGAGCTGTGCCACAACTATTTTGTGCAGACATTTCAGCCGAAGGAAATCTCGTGTATTATGTGCCACGATGACTGCTTCGAGCCTCCAGGTGCCCTTCCTCTGACGGGCAGTGGTAAGATCCGTCGTGCTCCCTCTGCCTCACGCTTTCCCCAGCAGAGAAGGCACCTGAGTCAGCTGCTTATTCGGGCAAGCACCATGATGCTGCTCATGGAGACGTCTGCAGCCGCTGCAGACCTGTTACGTACTCGGCCACGTTATTCCTCGTCACACCTGGTCTCCCACGATCCCACCATCCGACTCTTACCCGTCTCAGTGTCCTGCGCTTCCCCCAAGAGACTTGGGCAGGCTAGCAAGGATGCCCAGTGCGGTGCCAGCCCAGCCTGCCACATATAATCGAGTCCATATGGGAGAAATAAAATGCCATGCAAGGAAGACAACAATTAATTGCATCTTGGAAGGAGGGAAGGGAGAGGAAGGGGAAGAAGGGGAAAAGGGATGAAAGCAGGAGCCTCAGTACAGGGAGTATATAAAATTGCCCCTGAAACAGTTGAAAGGCCAAAGTCCCAGAGCACCTTGGCCGGAGAACGACTGAGGAAAGAAACCAGTTAGTAAAGCAAGGCAGGGAGAGAGATTCGGTGCACTGCAGTTGAGGTGATAGGCACATTAGAAATGATGGAGAAACAGAGAAGTCACCAGCCAGCTAGTCTTGAAGAGGACAAAGTGAGCAGAGCTGTTAGAAAATGTTCATGGGAATATTTTAGTATGAAAAACAGTGGTTTGACCAAAAAAAACAAAATAAAAAAATTATATGTGGGCAGACCTTCCCCAGTTTTTATGTGCAATTTTTTATTAAAAATTTGATTTTGGAAGTCTTAAGATTTTCATCGAACAACACATTTTTGTTGTTTTACCCCAAACGGTTTTCAAAACCTGCCGTGATAGTTTGTCCAAAAAACTGGAAAAAAATAGGATTTTTTTTTAAAGAAAAAAATGTTTCAAAATGTTTTCCCCAGGAAAAATAATCCTGATGTTTCAACCAGTCTGAAGAATGAGGATGTGCAAAGTGCATTTGAGGCTGGAAAGTGAGGGACCATCCTTTCTTCCCAGCGGAGAGGGGGCTCAGACCTCCGCTCTGTCTGCAGAAAACCAAATACGAAGCAAGCTGATGAAGCACTAAATGTCAGTTCCTAGCCCGGGGCTATTTGTATGGACGAGAGCGAGCTGAGTTTGCAGCATTTAGCTCATTTTGCGAGGGCTCGTGCCCACACGGCAAGAACCGCCAGCAGCAGCCTCAGCTTCGGGAAGAGACAGAAATAAAGATGCTCCAAAGAACAGCCGAGGCACAAAGGGAGCGCACTTCTGTACGCTGCTTGTCTGCTTTTGGTCCCGTGGATGAATCTTTGCGCACGAAAGCCCGAGTGATATCAGAGCATCATAGTCAAGCAGGGCTGAACCAGACCACGTGAGCTCACCCAGCCCAGCCCCCCGAGCGCGGCGGGATTATCCCGTTCAGCCAGGCACAGCTCAGATCGGCACGGCAGGCAAGTCACCAATGCACTCGTGTCTGAACCTATCTCGGAGATACACATTCATCTCTCCAGGCCTTTCCCCCAGTAATCAACAGTTGTGCAGAACTGCGAAGACAACTGAGACTTTTTCACGTGGGTTGGATGCAACATCCACTGACGCTTTTGATCTCATGGCACAGGATTGCTACCTTGGATTTGGGTCCAGATTCTAGATTAGCGCCTTTCAACCCCCTTGCACTTTTGAACCACTTGGCATGGAAAACCCTGGAGCAAAACAGAATCATCCGTACCACAAAATTCATATCTAAAGCACTTGAGCAAGTCCAGGGTGAACCCTCCGGCTGGGCAGGACGCTCACTAACCCCATGGAGAGGTGCCCCGGGGTCACAGATAGAAGCTGGTGCTGCGGTCATGCTCTGGGGGATTTTCCACCCTGGGTCAAACTTGCGGATGAAAATCTGCCCAGAGCAGGTGCGCGTCACTTGTATTTGCACGCTTACACACGCTTGTCCATGTGGGCACGCACACACCTCGTGAGCACCTGTACTGACACTCACCCAAAGCACAGACATCGCACCACGTAACGCTCATGGGTGCGTATCTGAGCATCCCCAGCCATGTGTCTGGGCTCACAGCACACCACGCAGTCACAACCACAGAGCCGCTTGGGACTGTGCGCACACTCGCATGCTTTCATACCCATGGGCAATTATGTCCACATCATGACTTGCTCACATTCACATGTGCAACTGGCTGTATATGCACACGCGCTCTTGCAGGGACATGCTCACACATGCACACACACCCTGCACAGGGTGATAGCTGGGCACACACCCTCACTCCCTACCCACTCAGGACACACAAAAGCCAAGAGACATTACGGCAGGCACTCACTTGGATTTGTTCTCCTCATAGTGAGCACTGGTCTTAATGTATCTGGCCAGTTCTATCTGCATATCGCCGAATAAAGGGACCACCTGCAGCTGCTGGAAAAGAAAACAGAAGATGGTTGAAATACAGCAGAGACCTCCTGCGGCTGGAGAGCAACACACACGGACACAAGGGAGGAACGGATAGTCTTGGTCTCGGGGACAGTCACAACTTTGACGGCCACGGCTGCAAGTGGTTGAAGGCTAACGCAAGGTGTTTAACACTGAAGAACCAACCCTTAAAGACCTCCGTTCCCCTGATGCTACCGATACCTTATTGTCAAACAAGGGGCTATGCCAGGATGTGACGGTGGGCACTTGTGCAGCCCCGACGGCTGCTGGAGAAGGGAGAGCGCATGTGTAGAAAAGATGCATAAGACACCAAAACAACACCTCTGGCACCCCCGAAGAAACCCAGACACACGGGATGAAGAGCAGCAGAGCAGCCAGGGCTAATTCTACTTCCAAAATGAGCAGGGCTGCAGCATCCTCGGGGGATTTCCTAGAGCGAATGGAAACGGATGATTCCCCGGTGTGTCCCGTCTGGGGCACTGCTTTCCCGAGACGCTGGCAGCAGGACTGACAGTTCACAGGTCCAAGTTTTCCAGGAAGACCTCCCTCCTGCAATAAAGGCAGTCTTCTCCTCAAAGACCAGCTCTCTTTGGACTCTGTCTGCTCCACGCATTTGTGCTTTGCAAGCATAGATGACTTAGATGTCCTGAGGATGGGGAATGACAGCTTGCCACTGTGACTATGGGAGGTTTATTGGCCAGTAAGTTGGTGTGGTGCCCACATTGCTAATATTGGTATTGCTCTCATTAGCTATGACTTGAGAAGGGCCCTAGAGTTGCCATGAAAAGGCCTAAGCCAGCCCAATGCATCTTTGAAACATGGGCAACAACTGGTTGCTCAAAGATCATTTCCCTTTGCATTTAATAAGGTTCTGGAGAAGGAGATGCAGCCTCCCTGGCTGTTGACATGTCTCGAGGGGAAGAAGTGTGTGTGTGGTGGGAGGGGGTCTCTGACTTGGCTATATTTTAATCTTAGCTGAAAAAGTAACCCCAAAGCAAGCGACCAGCAAACATCCAGTGACAAAACAACCGCCGCTCATGGGGCCGTGGTAGCAGTTCTCCCATCCTCAAGGGAGGGCTGCTATTACCACCTCCGTCTACCTCCTCGGATGGGTCTGAGCACAGGGTTTGCCAGGCTGTCTTCACGTGACCTTTTACAGGGGTTTTACATACAAAATCAGCTTCCTTCACAGCTCAAGATCCTGGAGATTTGGTTGGAAAAAGAAGCTGGGAGTGGTGGTGGAGCTGGATGCTTCTCCATTGGGATGTGGCGATGCAGACAGGTGCGTTTGGATGAGACAGCACCAGATACCACACGCGGCATGAGCGGAGAGAAAGTTGGAATAAGCACAGCAAGAGATACTTATATCCTTGTGTTGTCCTCCGATGCTCAAAGAGCTTCACAGCCATCAACGCAGCAGTCCAAACACACTGAAAAGGCCAAGCTCTGTCGATGATGCTTGATTTGAACCGAGCTAAAAGCTCAATGCAGCAAACAGGAGCAAGGGCAGCATCCAGAACACTTTGGGCAGTTTTAATAATTTTCCTAGGGTTGGGGAGCTGTGGACTCAGACTCCTGGAGGTCTAAGAGAAGCTTGTCAGCTCGTTACACCATCTCATTGCAAGTGAGAGCCAAGTAAGCAGAGCCTCTCGTGCACAGACGTCACCACGGGCTCAGTCCTCTGGCATTGCAGCACAGGCTGCGGGTGAAAAGGCAGGGCCCGACAGCCCTGGTCCAAGTGCCTCGAGGCGAGGGCGGAGGCTGCTGTCATTGCAAGGGTGAAGCTGATGCAGAGCAGAAGCGGTTACCAGAACCGGGAGCTTTCTCCCACTTTAGGAGAGGAATTCATCCAATAGGACTCAATAAAAACAAAAAGTTATTGGCAAAAGGACTCTGGGTAAGGAGAGCTAATGGTCAACAGGACTTCATGGGAAGTTCCCCGGGTACAATCAACTCCACAAGGAAAATATCCTACCATGTGCTGTCCACTGCCAGACCTGTTTGCGGGGTCTGATATGACCCACACGTGCACTAAGCATGCAGCGTGTGCTCAGCCCTGTGGATGACAGCAATGGGAAGGAGAAGGTTTCTGCATGGGGAACTGCTGCATCTCAGGCCAGGGGCTACCAGCCCTGGAGTGCAATCAGACAACCTACAGAGGGTAGGAAGTGACAGAAGAAGGGAAGCGTATTAGCTCTTCGCACCTTCCCACAGCAGCTGGTGGAAGTGGGCCAGCTTGGACAGGAGATGAACCCAACCCCAGAAGGATATCTGGCAGAGGGAGACACTTCCAAGGGCTCTGATGGCAGCACAAGCTCCCTCCAAGCACGGCATGGCTTCCTCCACCCGGCAGAAAGGAAATGAAATTGCTTCACCGAGCCTCTGCGCTAACACTTTATGGAGCTTTCCAGGGTGCGCCGTCAAGCTAGCGGGAGGCTCCAACACTTATTTGTTCCTTCCAGGGCCACGGTTTATGTCATGAACCAGCAGGAACCAAGGCAAGAGGCTGTTAGGGTCACTGTACCCCACGGTCATTTCACGGCATCATGGCAGTGCAAAGGCAGCCTTTAAGGAAACATTCCTGCTAACTTTTTTGGTTTGCAATAATCCCAAGCCCACCCCATGCTGGTCACTAACCTTGAAGAACTTGTCGATCTTGCTGAGGTTGATTCTCTTCTTGGCATCCAGTTTGTAAATATTACTGACGTTGCCGTCCATCAGATACAGACCAAACCCCATCACCTGAGAGGACCAGATCACAGAAGAGAAAAGAGTTATCGTCCAGAAATGGCACAAAGAGGTTGCCCTTGCATTTGGCACGAGAAGATGCCACTTTTGGCTCCACTATCACAGCTCCTGCTAAGCCAAAAGGTCAATGGGGCATTGCATTTTTTGTCAAGACAAGGTTCTTTGGGTGAATCTGATATCTTTTGTCAATACACAGATTTTTTGTCCATACAAATATTTGTGTGTGTGTGTGTATGTGTGTGTATACACACACATACATACACACACACACACATATATACATGTGTGTGTGTATACACACACATATGTACACATATATATACATATATGTATATGTGTGTGTATACACACCACACACACATATATACATATATGTATATATACACACATATATGTACACACACATATATACATATATATACTTATATGTACACACACATATATACATACATGTACACACATATATACATACATGTATATATGTGTGTGTATGTATACACACACATATACACACACATACACACACAAATATTTGTATTGACAAAATACAAACACACACATTTATATTATATATTGATAAATATATATATATATATAAACATTAAAAATATTTATATATTTTTGACAAATATTTTGTCAATACAGATACTGACATATCTTTTGTCAATACGCAGTACATTTGCCTTGGTAATTTGCATCTCCCCACCTCCCAAAACGCCCCTCAAAAGGCAGTTTCTACAGCCAAAAATGTCATCAAAAACAGTAAACATTTCCTCCCAGGGTAAATTGAGGAACATCTGTCAGAGATGTATTTGGCAGCCGTGTTGGTCTGAGACAAAAAGAAATGCAAAACACTAGAGGTCTTGGTTCAGAGATGATACGTTTATGAGACCAGCTGAGAAATCACACCAAAAAGAAAATCTTTTTCTGCAGATTTTCTTCTAATAAAAGGTATCATCTCTGAACCAAGACTTCTAGCCTTCTGCATTTCTTTTAGGGCACATCTGTAATTTTGCCCCAGGGATTTCTCTCCACCTGCTACCAGGGACACCCCAGTTCCTAAGTGCTTGCATACGGAAACAGGAGCATCCCTGACTGCAGTGCCATCCGTCTGTGCGCACCACCACCTGCTGTCCAAATCGTGCAGCACATCCCTGGATCTTTTCTCCGATGCCTGAAGAAGGGTGTTTGTGCTGGAAAGCTTGCAATTAAAGAATTTTTTTTTGTTGCAAAAATCTAGTTGGTCCAATAAAAGATATCACCTCTACCACGAGTTCTGGTTCCTGACACATCCCTGGAGCATTGCACGGGCCAGCTGCTAGCCAGGGGGAGAGCCAAGGAGGGGAGAGGTGACGGTAGGGAATAAGAGAGGGAAGAGAAGGAGGGATGGGATGCAGAAAGAACAAGGAGAAATGACAGGGAAAAGAACGAGGTTTGCTCCGGTCAGGCTGGGAACATGGTAACACTTCAGAAAGCTTGTGCGGGACCTCTGTGGGGCCCAGAGCTGTGTCCAGCCGGCTCCTCAGGGTAGGAGGTCGTGGGAACAGACAAGAGACAGCACCCCGGGAGCCGGGACGCGGGGTACCTTCAGGAGCATGTGCTTCTCGCTGGGGGTCAGGTACATCTTGTTCTCGTAGTAATCCACGCAGATGTTGACAATATCCGCCAGCAGCTCCTCGTAGCCCGGGATCACTTCCAGCTGCTGATGCAAGCACTGAAACGCCGAGACACCCCGTGTGAACCCCAGGGAGGAAGGGCGAGGGGTCGGGAACATCTGAGGGGACCTTGGGAGCGTCTGCCGAGACTTAACTTGCTGTGTTCGGCTAAATGGCTTGTGGCTCTCCCCCCTTCTGAGTCAGGGGGCTTGGGACAGCTTCACAATCGGGGACTAGGCTCTCTCTACCGGTAGCCCCAGCGATGGGCTGGCAGCTCGGCGCTCCTCTGGGCATATCTCATGCTCCCTTCAGGGTCCACGTGCCGCCCCATAAGGCGGGGACCCCCATCTGCCCCATCCCTGGGAGGTAACAGCATAACCATCCCAGCCCTGTGGCCACCTCCGCCGCCACCCCTGCGGGGCTCTGAGCTCCGGCTGTGAAATCACAGCTCCTTGGTCCTACAGGCGAAGGTGACCCCGCGTGTGCACCACTAGCCTGTAACTTTGCTGGGAGAAAGAAGCGTGCGAGGGGGAATGGACTTGCCTGTGTGATGCGGTTGTGGTTCGCCAGGAACATGGAGAGGTTTTGGGACTCCTGGATGGACTGGGGATCGGCCATCTTCCGCAGAAACTGGGCCGCCCTGCAAGGGAGAGCTCCTGCGTTACCGGGGACTCCTCGCGTCATTCCCGCTCCCTCGCTTGAAGTCAGGGCTTAGTTCAGAGGCCCAAAATGGACGTGACGTTAAAACTAACCCAGCCACAGGCTGACTCTTTGCATTTCCATTCACTTTAGCAGCCCTCTGGTCCTTGCAAACTCTGAATGAAAAGATCCAGCTCGCCTGCCAGCAGTCCTAAGAGCTCGGCTGCTTTAGGTACTCACAAGCCCTGTGCTGTCTGAGCCCATGAGACATGGCAGGGCTATTATCCTTTCACCGATGGGGAACCATAAGCCCACAGAGGCTGAGTGACCTGCCCAAGGTCACGCAGAGAATCAGTGGCAGAGCAGACTTGAACTCAAGTCCTTCAAGTCCTTGCTTCATACCTTCCTCCTCCTGCCCTAGGAAACAGCTGGGGCATGTCCTCGTCCACCCCCCAGCACACTACCAGAGCCCACCGCCCCTGTCCCCCCCACCGCCCCACACCTTTTGTAGGCAGAGTGGTCGTTCTTGACGCTGCACTTCATGTTCTTCAGCTCGTCCAGCACGGCGAACATGTTGATGAACTTCCCCAGAGTAAGCAGATAGGCCTCGGACACAAAGTCCTTCCTCCTCTCCGCGTGGCACAGGCGCTTCACCTCGCTGCAGAACCGCTCGATGGCTTTGCGCTGAAAGGCAACGGGGCAAGGCCGCGCTCAGCAAGCACCCGCTTCATCGGGGTGGCGCTATGTGACCCGCGGGTGCAGCGTGCCTGGGTGCAATATCTGTCCTCACTGCCCAGGGCTCTTTGTGCACTTCAAGTGAGCCGCTGCTTTTGCTCCAGGGCCTCTGCCCACCCAGCGCCCAGCATGCTGTTATGTGAGTGCTTTGGGACACCAAAAGTCTGACCACTGCTTACACCCCAGGGAATTATGCAGAGAAAAATTAAAAATTATGCACAGAAAAATTAAAAACTATGCGCTGAGTCCTGGGTGCTGCACATGGTGCACACCTTCAACCTTGCTGGCAGCGGCAGGGGCTGTGCACCATGCAGCGTGGCCCACACCCACCCACAAACCTCACACCCACCCACACACACCCCCATGCCCACCCACCAACCCCATGCCCACCCACCCCCCTGCAAAAAGGAGCTTCCCCCTACACACCAGCTGTGCGGTCACATGCCACTGCACTTGGTGCCTCCACGTGGGCTCCCAGCCCTGCGGAGGTGGAGGCACAGAGCCCACCCGGGTTAAATTATGCAAAATCATGCAATTATGCACAGTCATATGCTTTATGTGCAAAATTGCACAGGTGCATAATTGCATAATTCCCTGGGGTGCATCTGCTAAATTGAAGCCTTGGTGTCCTTTCTTATCCTGGACCGTGCCAATGAAAGGCTGTTTGCCTCCAAACACTTCCATTATCAGCTTCCTCTGGAGGACTCCTGCAGGGTGATCTAGACTAGGCCTAGCTTTGCCCCTGGACAGATGAGGAAACTTCTTGAAAAATGCCCTGACACCAAACAACTCTTATTTGGGGAGTGGGAGGAAGGGGCATGGTCAGCCATGTCTGTCAAAAAATGTTCACTTGATCACATCTGAGAAGGGTGGGTGGCATCAGCCATCAGACACTTCCTACCTTCATCAAAAAGCACCGGCCCTAATCATCCCCCTCTGCTGCAGAAATGCCAGCACAAATATCCCTGATGAATTCCTAATGAGGAATGTCTTGCATTTGAAGGCTTGTCTATCTCACTATGCAGTTGGTCTAATTAAAGATACCACCCTACAAAATCCTTGCCTCTAACACAAACCTTGGCTCCTCTGTATTTCATCCAGCACCTGACTTTCAGCTTCTGGATAACGGTCGTTTCATCCTCCACACAGAGCACTAACCAGCCACCGAAGGTTATGGCTCTCCAAGCCAGTACAGTGGCCGCCTTCAGACACATATACTGCACTGTAAATATATTGTGCTGTATGCACGTTGCATTGCAGGGCAGATGTACTGCATGGCGTATAAACTATATATAGTGCATTCTTTGTATTTTGCAAGGGCTGAAGTCTGCTAGACTTGAGGAACTTCAAAGCTCTCCTGTCCTGGGGCTGGATTTTGAGTATACAGCAAAATCTGAAGCCAGGCAAGTCATGTGTCTTTGCTCTGAACGTATCCCACTGCCAGCTGCAGAACTAAAGGGGTTTGCCCTCAGAGGACCAGAGAGGCTTTGCCTTGGCTGTCTGGGAAGGAAACCAGATCAAACAGACCACGCGACACTCATGAGACGGGTTCCTACCTCCCTGCTCCACCAGTTACCTGGAAATACATGAACTTCATCAGTTTGGTGACCTCTGGCTCCAGCACTTCCACCGTCTTCTCATAGATCTCCACCCGGTTGGGCTGCTCGTTGCATTTCACCTGGCACGCAACAAGGAATCGGCGTCACCCCGGCTGGCATTTCCCTTTGATGGGCACTGGCCACCACCCTCTGCCGAGGCCAGGGTCCAAGTGTCAAGGAGGCCGCTAGCCTGAGGCTGAGGACAGCGGATGCATCTACACAAGATGCTTCCTATGCGGTAGCCTAATAACACTGCGCAGTAGCGTGGCGGTCAAAAACCATGGTAATCAGCTACTGCGCAGCGTTATCAGGCTACGGTGCAGTAACCATCACAAAAAACCATGCACTGGTGCTACTGGACAGTAAATGAAGTTACTGTGCATTCAGTTATGACTTCATTAAGAAAACACTAAACTCAATGTGCAGTGACTATGGTGCATTAATGAATCCATAGATGTGCCCAGTGTTGCTATAACCCCAAGCTTGCTGCCCAGACTGAGAGTGAAGGGACATGGCTAGCTCTCAGATATGCAATACTCTCAGTTATTACAGATATAGGGGGTGGCCTCCGGTACTGTGCTGAGAAACAAAGTCCCCCCACATTTGCCCTGAACCCTGTACACGATGTCAGTCCTGACTCACTGTCACATCAAAATTCATGATGCCGTCGAGCTGCCCAAAAATTCACCACCATGATGCTACGTAGCTGCCAGTACCCAATTTCTTTCAGGTGTGAAGAGCTCTCTGCAAGCCCATGCTGGGATTACTTAGACTGAGGGTGGGAAGGGACCTCAGGCCACATCTAGTGCAACCCCCTGCTCCAACTACATCATCTCATCCCAACCCATAATTGGGGGGTGTCCTGCCTTCTCAGTTGGATTTTGCTTTCTCTTTTAAATATATCAACTTAATCACTCCCTTGCTCCTGGAAAGCCGGACAAGGGGAGAGGCGAACACCGTTTTCTCTGCCTCGCTGTAGCCCTTTTGCAGACACGCTGGGAAGCGTGAGACATGTTTATTCCAATCCGACGCTGCCCAATTTCATCCTGTTCTGAATTCATCTCATGCTGGGCTCATCGGCCTCTCACTTCACAAGACAGTTAAAAGCAAGGCCCTCCAGCCCGTCTGCACCACTGGCAGCCCGACTTCAAAGCTCCTTTTTGGAGGACTCCCTCTGTGCTACGGACACTCCCAGCCTCCCTAGTAGAGGGACAGATTGCATGGCCCTGCTACCACGTGGCACAATTTAAAGCAGCTCCATAGCTTCTGTGTCGTGTGCCTGGGACAGTCCCTAACCCCCAGCTGGCTCCTCTGCGTGGGAGGATGCGAAAGCAGCTCTAAAGCTGTCTGTGCCCCTGCTGCACATCTCCTGAGGATCTGGACCTGAGTATTTGAATGATATGGTCACATTAATTATTTTTCATCACTTGGGCTCCCTCCCCTCTGCTGCAGCTGGGGCGCTGGGTTTGCTCCATCACGTGCTGTGCCTCCTACAGATGCCCGTAAGGGAAGTGCGTGTTTGGCACGGCAGCGTGCAAGTCTGTCCGAGTAGCTGCCGCAGGGAGGGGAGATGTCAAAGCACGTGAAACCCCTTCCTGCATGCTCTTCACATGCTCCCTCGTGCCGTCGATCTCCCTCGCGCCGTCCACCCCAACCCTGCCTGCAGGCATGTTGCAGTGATCACGGAGGAAATTGCAAACCAGCCCCAGGAATTCATGGGGACTAAGCAAATATTCAGCCAGGAGCATAAAGCTGGGCCCCGTGGGCCAGCCAAGAGGAACCCAAGGGAACTGAGTCTTGACCTCTCCTGCAGATCAAAAAGGTGCAGACACCAGCATGTGTCTGTGGTGAGGCTGCACTAACCTATCCTTGGGGTAGGTTCCCATTAGCATTTTGGCCTTTTTTTTGGCTAAGATCAAATGCAGCATTTTTGGCACCAAGGGGATGTTAAGATTCATGAACCAAAGTCATAAGGGAAATAGAGAGTGCCCAAGCGAGGGACTAACATAAGAGGGATGGGGTGAGGAGGGGAACACAACTAGGTTACAGAAAACACAATGTTAGCCAACTAAGCCTGGGGGTATTTTTTTTTTGGCACCACAGGGAATGGTTTCAAGGCTGGCTCTGGCCCAATGGGGGTTTTTTTAAACTTCCCTGCAGGGGGACTGCAAAGAGGATGGAGCTGGGCTGGTCTCAGTGGGGGCAGATGACAGGACAAGGAGCAATGGGCTCAAGCTGCAGCAAGGAAAGTTGAGGTTGGATATAAAGAAAAACTTTCTCACTAGGAGGGAGGTGTGTGTAAGTGCTGCCAGGATCAGGCCCTTCACAACTCAGGCTGGGGTGTTTGTTGCAGCAAATAGGGTTCAAAATGTATCTAAACAGTAAGTGGTGGGAACGAAGAATTTGCCTGGAAACGGTGTCAATAAACCAGTGGAGTGATTAGTACCGAAATGCAGCAGTGCAGGACATGCAGGCGCTGAGCCCAGCGGGGTAGGGAGTAGTTTTCCCGTCTCTGGAAACTTTTTTGAGGTTGCAAAAATGTCCCTGTTCCACGTTGGGAAAATCCAGACGTGGGAAGCTTGCCACAGAAAAGCAGAGAAGGAAAGACCCACCCTGGGAGAGCCAACAGCCCCTTGGGGATGGCATCCAATGGGTCAGAGCACTGAGAACAGGGAACAAAAATTGGGCTTCCCGTGTCCCAGTGAATGCCCAAACCACTGGGTTAAATCCTGCCCTATTTCAGCCTTGACGTTGCTCCTTTCAGCCTTTGCTAGCACTCAATTATCAGCTCTTTTTGTCCGACGTGCTCAGGACCTGCACAATGCCAACCTAGAGGTGGTCTTCTCCAAGTGGTACGTGAAGGAACCACGCGAGACACCGCATTTTTCCCCTGTCTCATATGGCCTCACTGCCAGCTCTCCATCACTGTGGGGTCACTGCCTCCTAGTAGCTTCAGGAGCCAGCTTCTCAAAACACATACCAAAAATATATCCTCCTTTCTCTCAGCTGTGAAATCCCAACTCACTTCCACTCTGTCCACATTTGACAGTCAAACTACTGAAGGGCTTCTCTTCAAACACAACTTGATGTTGAGATCTCCAAGGAGGCCACAAAACAAACCAAGTTTGACAATTTTGGTCATAGATATTTTTGAGTTATCGGTTTGCCATGCTTGTCAGGAAACCATAAGGGCAAAGTGAGTTAGAAAATACTCTGCTGATTTTTCTCTAATTCCCCCAGTACGTGCTGGGGGAAGGGGGGGCATCCATCTGGGATGGGCTGCAATGGGCTGGGGACAGCACTGTGCATGTGTGCTGGGGGTTGGACTAGATGATCCTTGAAGTTCTTCCAACCTTAGGATCCTGTGAAATCACTTCTGGGGTGAGATAAATCTCAGCCTCAAAATAAATTAGCCTCATCTGAGCCCAGCGCTCCTTCCTGCCTAGGCAGGGGGTCGGACTCGATGGCCTACTGAGGTCCCTTCTGACCCGAACATCTATGAATCTATGAAAGCAATGGCTGTTTGTACGGCAGGATGCAAACTACAACACGGCTTCAGTTCCAGCAGGGATGGACAGAAATGAGTCCTACCCCGGTCATGGAGCAGAGCACATGTATACAGAGCACGTGTCCCTGGGCCAGCTATCAGCAACAGATGAGCTCTTTGCAGCTGCTAAAGCAGCCGCCTCTCTTGCTGCGCCTACAGCATCCTTTCCCTGGTCGGTGGATGGCTAGTTTGGAGAAGCAATGGGAACCTTTTTCCAGCCTTCTTTCTCCACATCAGGGTTTTCCCCAGCAAAGTCCTAGGCATTTGGAAGGGAAAGCCAGATGGCTGCTCCAACGTTTCTTTCCAGGGAGGAGGTCCTGGACTGTTTCTTACCTGGGGTATGGCCCTGGAGCAGCTCCTCCACGTGTAAAGCATCACTGCATATTCGTGTCCTTCCTCCAGCATTTCATTCTGCAACACACACAAGTGCCCTGCTGTGAACGGCCCACGCCTGCTAGCAAGACCCACAAGTCAGCATGCAGGGCCTGTGCCCTCTCCCTTGAGGACAGCCCTTGCAGACAGACTCACCATGCTAGAGTGCACCGTCGCCTGCTCGATGTACCTGGCGATGCCGGTCACAAAGGCGTTTCGGTCTTCAAAGTTGGTGTCAAAATTAGCCTGGGGATACAGCGGACAGTCAGCAATTAAAGCCGTGTTGATTAAGATGACAAGCACAATTGCTGATGACTAAAGGCTCCGTAAAACCATGCAAGGGGGGTCCCATTTGATGTGGAGAAATAAATGCTGTAATTTAAGCGTCCAATATGCACACCAAGGCCGACGTTGTGTGGGCATCTTTACACATTAACACAGGGAGCCTGTTGACCGTGAAGGCAGGAAGAGCAGATTGGAGGACGCAGGCACACGCTATATTTGCTGTATGCCCTATCTACCTGTGTGGATGCTGTCAGACATAAGCACACACATAAAAGGAGGAACCAACAGGATCTGCACAGGCTGAGGCAATGTCACGATCTTTTCCTATTGCAATAGCCCTCTCCCATCTCCTACCTACACCCACTTTTTGCTCCTTCTAATCCCTTGCTGAGCTGGGTCTTATTCAGACCTGAAGATCCTTTTTGCTAGTCTGCAGTGCACACAGCCCTTGGGAACCCCAGGGCTAGGTCTCTACAGGCTTCCCTAAACCCTGGGCCCCTGCAGCGCAGGGTGTGGAAAGAGGTAACAGTTATACTGCAATCAAAAACATCCAGGAAAAGCTGCTGTGATGCAAGTGTTACATCTGCCCACTCCTACAGCGATGCACGTGATCTAGCAACACCACTGACACTTTATCTGCACCTCCTTACAGTGATTCAGGTATCTTATACAGCTACAAGTGCATATAGACATAACCCTTGCTGCTGCATGCTCTGGAGAGGCAAATCTCCCTCCCCTTTTCAAGGGGTTAAAAGTTGCATCCATCCACAGGCCTTGCTTCAAACACCATGGCCTTGGCAAGGCATCATTACAACCCTCACCTTCCCCCCGAGAAGTGGGAGCGTACCTGGTACATGATGGAAGATGGGGGTGGTTCGATGCATGGCTGCTGGTCAGGCAGGGGCAACTCCTCCAGCAGGTCCACGTTGGACAAGGCATCCTCCAGCGTGACGTGAGTGGTCATGGTCCCGTCTGCGAAGGTGCCACGCTGAAGCCAAGGGAGAGGATGGGCTTTGAGAAAAGCAGCCGGCCTCAAAGACTCACAGTAAAGGAGCTCAGAGAAAAGGGCTCAACTAATCCCAAGTCCTCGGTGGACTTCCACTGCAGGCAGCCCAGCCACAGACTAAGTTCACGGGGACCACCATGTGCCCAAGTGAAAGACCACGTTACCACAGGGAAGGCTCACAGCTGGACTCCGCTAGCAAACCCCCACTGCAGATGTGCCGCACGACTGGGGCATGCCCTCGTGCCCTGCAGAAAGACGTAGGGACAAGCCTCCTCTTGCACCCATGCAGCACATCTGCAATGAGAGTTTAAACCATTGGTGCAAAAATCCTTTCAGGAGACAGGCCGTCCATGCCCCAGGCCCTGGGTGGGAAATGCTACTGGACCCTGGAAACACAGGCTTTAACTGCCAGAAACCTGCTGCTCCCCTGCACTCATGGAGGGGGTTTCCAACAGCCAGTGTGGCTTAGTAATGAATTCCAGTGCCAACTGGGAGGGGACGCGCTCCTGTTAAAGCAGGACTGGGAGCCTCTTCTCCCCTTGGCCCTCTCATGGCTAGGTCTCTTCTCTGAATCCCATGCTCCCCTGTCTCTTCTCCTGTTAGAAAAAAGCCCCATTTCTAACTCTTGTTAGGTTTTCTTTTTGTCCTCACTCCTCCTTGGGGCAACTTTCCTCTGATTTCCAACCTGAATGTATGCACGGTCAGTCAGACCCATTCGTCCTTGGGCCAACCTTGTACTTTAATTTAAACATCTCTTCTCCCCCTGCTGTTTAATCCTCTTGATGCATTTCTACGTACTAATCACATTCCCACTAAGACTCTCTTGTGCTTCTACCCACTGATGGCCTCTTATCTCCCGCTGCATCCTTGTTTAGCCTGTTTTCTCACTCCAGTCCACACAGGCATTTATGGCAGTTCTCCCGATCTCCTTCCCCTCTGCATTTTAGTACACAGAGTCAGAAAGAAGGAGAAAACCCCATCACATTTACCCAGCTCCCTTCTTGTTTAACCTGACATGCAAAGCAGAACAAAAGCATCCAAAAGGCAGAGGTACTTTTGCAGATCGGTCAAAGGAGGACTAAAAAAGACTGACCGTATTTAGCATCTCTTTCTCTTTCTCTCGTTCACACATACGCACTAAATAAAGCTAGACACTGTGACAAAAATAAAGACCTTCTCTGGGAAAGAAAATTTAGTATCACCGTCCGACAAACAGGTTATGGCAAGGGTCTTTGGCCAAGAAACAGCAGCTTTTTGAAAAGGCCTTTTCCCTGCCGTACATCCTATCTGCTATCTCCCTGCAACCCTCTGTATTTCTGATGTCACCAGTGACACGTGCTGAGATAATGCTAGTCAGCCAGGAGCCACAACGAGGATACTGCAAAAAGAAGCAATCCTTTCTTTGGAGCTTAATTTTGTACTGAATGCCCTGTGCAGATGGGCTAGGGAGGAACAGAGAAAGGAGCCTCCTTTTTCACTTTCCGTTGCTCTTCGTCTTTCCTTTATCAATTCACAGAAGAGACCCAACATGCCATAGACTTCTTTATATTAATTCCTATTTCAGGGTCAATAGATGCAGCTGACCTAGAGAGAAATCATCCAGTCTTGACTTAAACATTTCCCCTTCCCCCAGTACATGTCTCTAATAGATAATTCACCTCACCGGCATCTGACATCTAACCTGTATTTGTTTTGTTTCAGCTCCCAGCCACTGGCTCTAGCTACCAGTTGCCTCTTATACTAAAGAGGCCTCTGTTATCACATTTCTGTTCCCGTCTTGGTTGCAATCAAGTCCCTCCTTAAGCTTCTCTCTATTGAACAGACCAGACTGAGCTCCCAAGTCTGATATCATCCTTATGGATCTTCTCTGAGCCCTCGCCAACTCACCCACATCTCTCTGGAAGTGTGGACGGTGCCAGAGAAAAAGGTAATACAGCCTCTCTATCCCTGCCCACTCACATCAGCTCTTCTGACCACAGCATCACAACAGAAGCTCATGTTCCACTGATAACCCGGCAGGATTCCCCTCGAGGCATTTTTTAGACACACAAGGCACTTGTACACACCACGGCGTTTAATCCTCATTAATTTAACAAGGATTAAAATTTTTAAACTGGTTTATTTTAGTGCGTCGGGTTTGCGTTTGCATGCACTGGGTTTTCGAACAAATTATGTGAAGGAATTGCCTCCCGGGATCATTTGTTTTTGGCATGAAGGGTGCTGAAGGGTGTATGGGATCTTGGATGGGCAGAGGAAAACATGCTCCAAAACATGGGAGCTGGGCATCACTCAGTGCGTGGGACATGTGGGAAGGCATCTTGGTGGCACTGAAACAAGGGCTCTGCCTTGTGATAGCATCCCTGCCTGTTTAACACACAAAGAACTGGACTAAGCACACCTACAAATGACAAGGTGTGGACACGTCAGGCCTAGTGCTTTTAAAATGAAGTCACAGGAGATAATGCACGTGCTGAAAAAGAAACCATCCCCCAACCCACTCTCAGACATTTCTAACTCACTCTCCAGCCTCTTTTGCTTCCTGTTGCAAATTATAGCAACTGTCAAAACCACCTTTACATCCTGGCATGCCCCAGTTAGAAGCTGGTTCCTCTTTCCCCAGCCCGTGCTATTGAGCGCTGCCTCTTCTGCCATTCTCACAGTGGTACCTTCCCCGTGGCAGTTTCGCCCACTGGCCCGCGTGCCTCAAAATCACTCTCCCAATGCTATTCTCCACTCCTTTCACTCATTCTCCTGAGCTCTCACATCCCCCTGTGTCGCCCTCAGACAATAGGAAGACAAAGGGAGGTGCATCCTGCACCATCCCTTTGCACCTTTACATCCTGCTCAGCCAAGGAGCCCATGCTCTGCTTCACATTGGGGCTATTTCTCAGTCTTATGAGCCAAACTCTGTTTGGGGTAAAGGCAAAACCATTGTTAATGACAATCTGCCAACAGCAAGGGTCCCCGCCTTCCTCAGAAGCATTTGGCTCTGGTTATGGTCAGAGATGGGACGCTGGATTAGATGGACAACCTAGCAGTGTGTAGAGTTTCAGGCCATTCTGACCATGTAGTTTGTACTGACGGTGTTGTATGTCACCCAGATAAACCCTACTTCAAGTTCAGTTACCACCAGTCTAGTTTTAGCGTGCTTTTTTTACCCCCAAAAGGCCTATATCCAATCCTGGTTTACAGACTTCCAAAAAAGCCCTCTGGTGAATTATTCCCCAAACTTCTGTGAATTCTAGTCAGCACTGGGGAGGCCACATCTGGGGTCCTGTGTCCAGCTGTGCGCCCCCCACTACAGAAAGGATGTGGACACAATGGAAAGAGTCCAGTGGAGAGCAATGAAAATGGTTGTGGGCTGGGGGACAGGACTGGTGAGGAGAGGCTGAGGGAACTGGGCTGATTTAGTCTGCAGAAGAGAAGACCAAGGGGGATTGAATAGCAGCCTTCGCCTCCCTGCAGGGGGGCTGCACAGAGGATGGAGCTGGGCTGGTCTCAGTGGGGGCAGACGACAGGACAAGGAGCAATGGGCTCAAGCTGCAGCAAGGGAAGTTGAGGTTGGATATCAGAAACAACTGTCTCACTAGGAGGGTAGTAAAACACTGGAGCAAGTTTCCCAGGTAGGTGGTGGACTCTCCATCCTTGGAGGTGTTGAAGACCTGGGTAGACAAAGCCTTGGTTGGGATGATGTAGTTGGGGCTGGTCCTGCTTGGAGCAGGGGTTGGCCTAGAGGTGACTCCTGAGCTCCCTTCCAGCTCTCATGGTCTATGACTCTATGAACGAACACTCCCTTAATGACACACCATGATGCTTTCGGATCCCCCTCGTGTTTCCAAGGCCCCTCTGCTTTTTAAATTTAAATCTCCCCTCTTGCCTGAAGGGTTTCTGAGCAAGCCCTCGCTCCTAAGACTGCAAACATTGAAACTTTCTGAGGAAGACATAAAAAATTCAAACAGGCCTCACTGTATCTGCACATTGCTGGGGGGTTGCCAGCAACCACGGCCCCTAATGACCTGGTTACATACAAAGATCTGAGCAGATCAATGGGTGCAATTGTAGTTGTTCGTGATGATTTGCACTGGAATAGCACTACAGCCCCCAGTACCTTCCTTCTGCCAGGCACTGGATACACCTGTAAGGAAAAGGCATCCTGCCACTGTCTAAGTACAGGTCGAGAGATGGAAATAAATGTGTATGACCACAAAGAGGTAGTTCATAGTCTTGCAATCAGCAGCACGACAGGCTGCCCGTTGCTTAGCCCTTCCCAGGTGTTTTGTGGCCTAGATAGCCTTGAAGGAGAAGTTCAAAGAAGGAAAAGGCAAGGGCTGTGCAGATTTAATTAAGAAGGTTTTAATTAAAACCCACTTGCGTGTTGCTGGAGAAGTGGAGTCCGAGGGCCAGTTGCAAAGCACCTTTAGGCATAACGAAAGGGGAAGCTCATAGCAAAAAGGAGACGGGCCAGGCCTGTTCCTCATTTCAGTCCTGCAGAGAGGGCTGCTGGACTATAAATGCAGTTCATCTCCATTAGCCGCAGCACCAGGGCACGGCCGTGTTATACGGTGACTGATGACACCTCAGGGAAACTATTTCCCAGGGAAATGTTGCTGATAAGCAGCCGTTGCCCTTAGCAGGTGTTGTGCCTAAAAGGGATCGACTTCAATCGCAATAACCAGTCGGTAACTGAGAAGCAGCAGTCTTCAGGAGGGTTGTTCACGAGACCCATGCTCAGCTCCAGCGCAGAATTGGTTGTTAATGACACTGAGCTTTAAAGCAGGTGTTGGGATGGCTGCTGCCGAATTGGCTTTTATTTTACTACCCTCGATTCTGGGCTGCTTTTGGCGCATGAAAAGTTAGAAACTTCTTGGATTTTGTTTTTTTCGTAACCATTTTACTGGAGGGAGGGTCTCTTCCTTCCTCCTGCACCTGGGGCTGTACTCCAGGGAGCTCTCACGTGG